ATAGTATTGGTTATCATGGGCAATAATCATATTTGTGAAACAAAGTAGCATATAAAATGTTAATGGTGGTTTGTGTGGACCCAGGGAAGGCCTTGAGAATCTTGCTGTAACCATTAAAACCCAAATCATGTCCAGGAAAAAAATCCAATTTTACAAATGTAGAAATGCCATGATGCTGCCACTTTGTGAGCCAATTATAATATGAGCTTCAAAAACAACAACAAATTCAGAAATTACTTTTACCGTATGCGAGTTAAGATAATTATGCTACATTGCTTAAGGCTTGCAGTACAGTTGAAGATATTTCGTTCCTTGTAAAAATTTGTTTTCATCTTGTCTGTGCCTCTCATAATAACCGCAGGTAAATGCATTTTAAAATGTAATTTCTATAATTGAATGCATTTTTAAACTGAAATTTTGCCAGAAGCAATTGAAAACTCAGATGATAGCAAGAAAGCTTCTCCAGGAGGCTGTATACTTTATTAAAATGAGAAGAACCATAAGTCGCAAGTGCATTTCTTATAAATTGAAAAATGGGATGAGGAAGATCTAATAGATGATTTTAAGTGATATGACACATCCTTTCACAACATACTGAAGAATAACACACATTTTCTAGCAAGCTGCAATGGTTTTTGAGAACTAACTAGGACAGGTCAAAGTTCAATACAATATGAGGAATACATTTGAGCTGGTATGAAAGGTTCTTTGAAATACGATACGATACAATACGATACGATACGATACGATATCTTTATTGTCATTGTCCCCTGTGGAACAAAGAAATTGAAAACTACATAAAAACTACATAAAACTACTACAAAACTACATAAAACTACATAAAAACTACATAAAACATTCAAAAGCCCCTAAAAAACTCTAAAGCCCCATTTTAAAATACACTATACTACAGAGACCCCTTATGCCGCGTTTAGAACCAGAATTGCATTAGCGTAGAAACTGTTTCTGGCCTTTATAACCCTATACCTTCTTCCAGAAGGCAGAAGCTGAAAGAGATCATTTCCGGGGTGCGTACTATCATGTGCTATCTCTGCCGCTTTCTTATGGCACCTGGCAGCATAGATTTGATCTAAGGTGGGAAGAGTGCACCCAATAATTCTCTCTGCAGTCTTTACAACCCTGGATAGCATTGTTTTTTCCCTGGCTGTGCAGCTCCCAAACCACACGCACAGACCATAAGTTAATACGCTCTCCACAGTGCAATGGTAGAATGCCATCAACAGGTCCTTTGAGAGATTGTTTTTCCGGAGGATTCTCAGAAAATATAACCTCTGCTGTGCTCTCTTCACCAGGTCTTTGCTGTTCTCTCCCCAGGTTAGGTCGTCTCTCAACTCCATTCCCAGAAATCGAAACACTGAGACCTGTTCCACGCACTTCCCCTCAATAATAAGTGGCTGAATATTCAATTTACATTTCCTAAAGTCCACAATGATCTCTTTTGTTTTCTTTAAGCAGAATAGCAGAAAAGGAATTCATTTTGCAATTGTTGAAGTGTCTGCGGCACAAAACAACTGAGTGGCCATCAAAAATGGGAGAATATAAGGCATGATCCTAAATCTGATGTTAAGTGGCAGAAAATATGTTCATTACTTCTGTGGTCCTAAGCATATGTATGAGGAAGTAAAGTCCATTGAACTAAATAAGATGTATAAGTGGGAATATGACAGCCATCCAACTAAAACAAGGTATTCCATGAATTTAGCAACTCACAGAATGGGACTTTCCTACCTCTCCACAGTCCCCTCCCCCCCGCAATTCTGCTGCTAGGAGTTGGGGGACCACTGGGAATGGTATAGGAAGCTGAAGCAGAGCAGGGAGTTAGCACAAATTACTCTCCCCTCTTACGTGAAGGAGCAACCTGGGATCCAAGCTCTGGTCCTTTAGCACAAAAGTGACTCGTTTTATTTTTAAAGTATGACTTTTTGCATAAGCCCCCGTTTCCTCTTAAAATTCGAATAACCACCTTTTTTCTGCTTCACGAAAACAAAATGCTTATAAAAGGTCCACAGAAGCTCTTTCTTGTAAAATAATCTTACTTCCACCCCACTTCTTTGAGCAGCAAGTTGTTCCAGGAACTCAGCATTTATCCAGGTTTCAGTTTGAAGGTCACTGGAGGCTAATTGGCATTTTGTGATATTCATTTCTTTATATACAGGTTGAGCATACTTGGAGATACATCTTAAATTAGGGGTCAGTAAACCATGGACCTCTAGATATTGTTATAATACAACTGTCACCGCTGCCACCAACATCCTTGACCATTAACCATGCTGGCTGAGTCTGATGGGAGTTGGAGACTGCAATTATCTGGAGATCTGCAAGTTGACAACCCATCTTAAACTACTGAACAGATAAAAGTCCACGGCTCCCACATCAGACCTCCATGGAGACCAACCTGCAACCTTAGGTTGTTCACACAGCCAAAACTCTTTCTCGGTTTCTGTCTCAAAAGGGCAGACTATTGCTTTTACACCTGGATGAATAATCTCTTGTATTGGATACTGCAGACATTTTATACTGGGAAGGCCACAATTTAAAATTTGGCTGGCATGCATGTCTTTGGTATGGGAAAGCTAAAATCTGTAAGAGTTTTATGAGCCACATTCTCAGGAAGGATTTGTAGCGATGGGAGAAATATAAACATTTGCTGGAAAGGAAATCACCTTTATGGTTATCCCCCATTGAAGCAATTACAATTAAGAGAGTTAATATGGATAGACAATGGGCGATTTACAAGGAACTGCTGGATTTTACAGGGCGGGGGGTGGGGACCCAGACTGAAAACTATGGAAAAATTAAGGAGTCAAGTTATGGACTGGCTACAATACCACCAGCTATATGTTTAAGTTAGATTTAAAAAACAGGTGTTTTTAAACAGCTTAACATCACTAATGTAAAATACATGTCATGATATGCAGTTAAGATTCCGTATTGCTTGAGAAATCCTTGTTACAGCCAAGTTTGATTTAAGGAAGGCCTTAACCTTACTAAAATTCCAGCAAATGCCCCTGGCCTCTGTAGATGGACGGGCTGCAAACTGACTTTTGATCTGTGCCATTGTTCTGTTGGGGTGAAAAACAGTGGAAGTCCTTCCTTACTACATATTGCACTGTGTTTCCAAGAATATCGGGAATATGTTTCTAAAGCAACTTCTGAGAGCTTATTAACTCTGGTCCTACCAGCAGAACTTAGAATTCCTGCTGGCCAATGGCAGCAAAGCAATTTTATACAGTGACTGTTTTTGCTCTGGCAGCCAGGAAGCAACAACAAAAATGACTCATGTTGTGGGTTGTGATCATGCTGCTTGGCTATTGGACTACTGTAACTCTGTAGAGATGTTTTGTATGTATTTCTTTGACTACTGCCTGATTGGATTTATTATTTTTGGTTGATATTTTGTTCTGCTCTGTTATGGCCAAAGGGTAAAATAAATAAACTTGAAATGAACTTCTGAAAAACAATCCAGCTGAAGTTAGTTGTGCTTAAGTCCCATCAGAATCAAAGGGGTGGCGTAGTTGAGTTAGTTAAGACTAATCTGCTGTATGGATTTCAGCGATGTGATGGACACAATCCTATGTCGCAGGTCCAATGGCTGGATCAAAATTAAGATTTGGAAAAGCAAAGCAAATTTTCACCATCACAGTATTCAAACAAGCAAGGAACCAAATACTTATTTAGAATACGGAGCCGTCAAAGGTATGTAGCAGTAAATGAACAAAATAATAGAATTGTACAGTTGGAAGGCATCATGAGGGATACCTAGTCCAACCTGTGCAATGCAAGAATCTTTTTGCCCAACCTGGGGTTTAAACTCATGATTCTGAGATTTAAGAGTCTCATGCTCTACTGACTGATCTATCCCACACATCACTGTTTGGTCATTTTAGCCATAGGTATGCTGGCTGGGTAAGCTCAGGAAAATTAAGAGAAATAAATACAAACAATTTGAAACTAGATACAAGTAGGCACCCAAGCCTTTAGAACAGGCAGCTGTGGAATTAATAGAATGTACTTACCAATAGCAAAATACAGAATGAAAAGTAATTCTGTTTGGTCATATTAAGGAGAGGGGAGGAATTAAAAAAAAAGGGAAGTCTTACATTTGAACAAAATGAGAAACATTAACCAGTTTTCTAAATAAACTCCCGTTCAAAAATATCATTGGTGCTCCTATGTTCTGCCCCCATTGCAACATGCATTTCTGATTTCAGTGGGATTCAAACATGTCATCTGAATTGCACGGGTTTCCCCTACAGAAAATGCAAAAACTGTGATTTCTCTAAAGAGTGCTAGAACTGAAACGGTATAGCAAACTAGGTGCTCAGTGGACTGCAAAACTTGTTTCCTTTGCATACTTGTAAAAAATGCTTCTACATATTTGTAGAAAATGCTTTCCATCTGTAAAAGGTAAAGGACTCCTGGACAGTTAAGTCCAGTCAAATTCGACTGTGGGGTCAAGGGAGCTTTCAGGTCAACAGAGTCAGTGTTTGTCCACAGACAAACCCAGATTTCTGGGTCATGGGGCCAGCCTGACTAAGCCGCTTCTGGTGCAATGTGACATCGTGATGGAAGCCAGAGCGCACGGAAACACTGTTTTGCTTACCACTGCAGTGCTACCTATTTATCTACTCGTGCTGGTATATTTTTTAACTGCTAGGTTGGCAGGAGCAGGGACAGAGCAACAGGAGGTCACTCCCATCGTGCAGATTTGAACTGATGACCTTGTGATCGGCAAGCCCAAGAGGCTTGCTGGTTTAGACCACAGTACCACCTGTGTCCCCTTATTCCCCCTATACCCCCCCAAAAAAAACTCCTCTTGAGAGTTTGAGAATCCTTTACAGTGGTGTGGGAAGTGCTATACTGGGCTGCAGCAAACTGACAGTTTTGCAGCATGGAGTTTGAAAAACATTAAATAGTATGTTTTAAATAACTGAGAGCTAGCCAGTTTATAGCATAGTGAAGTACCAACAAGATGTTTTCAGAACCAACTGCAAATTATTTTAATTGTTTCTCTGAATGAACCCAATCCAAGACAGTAACAAATATTGTATAAAAAAGAAAATACATTTCATTTTATCATTACATTTTGAAACTAGGAAAAATGCAATTAAAGAAATTAGAATTTTTCAATCTTGGGTAAAAGATTGAGAATAAAAATACTGTTTTATTTAATAACACATTAATAAAATGCAACTTAACACTAAATATATTCAGAATATTATTATATGAACTGCTGTCTTGGTGAAACGAGATTAACATCCTGTGGAAACATCTCAGCATCTGAGTGAGTTGTAACCAATAAACTTTCAGATCACAATAGCAGAAAATGAGGAATTAATTGGACAGGAACATTTGAAAAAAGAGAAGGGCAAAAGGGAACCGCAGAACTTTTCCAAATCAAGCCACTGCTCTAAGGCAGGATTCTATAAATCTATAAATATGAAGCTCCAACACAAAGGGCTGGTTGAGTACGTTGAAGTTTGTGTGTGGCCTAGTCTCCTCTTTGTGACTGGGCAGCTCCAGAACTATTCTGAAATGATGCAAAGATAGAAAAGTGAAGTCTTAGTTCACAAGTACATATGCCTGCCTAAATAGGATGGAATCCTTAAATTATAAATGAATAGGGCTGAAGCTTTAAATTATAAATTCAAACAATTATATTCTGAAAAAAAATCTGATACAGGGGAGGCCACAACTTGCCTCTGGCTAGATTTCTCAAGTGAGAGGTAGGTTTCTCTGAAAAGGCAGAGATGTCAAAGCTGCAATTTGTGTGTTCTTATGAAGTCAATATTCCTCCCTTCCCTCCTGCGCATGCACTCACAGAAAAACTGCCTCACTTTTTAGTACATTGGCTTTTCTGGATTATTCCTCTTCCAGTGACAAGAGCGAGCAGAGCCATTCAAAACATCTGTATTTGGTCTATATTATTATTGAGAGCATGAGCTTTTTTCATCATTCATGGAAACTTACTATGTATAGTTTGAGAATGCTGTCTCCCATGACACCCTCAATTTAATTTGCCCCCTCTCCAACTTAAATGACATCTTCCTTCCTGCAGTTGAGTTTCATTTGTTTTTTCTATATTTTTGTTCTATGGTGTCCCAAACCCCGTTTGTCCTAAACACACCCTGTAAATTCTGCATTTGTTTCTCCTTTCTGGTCCTGATTCACTTCAAATTGTCCTATAGTACTCTAAAATAGAACACTGAATCGAATCGAACCTTCTACTATATACTACTGTATTTATTATTATTTATTTTATTTCTATACCGCCCTATACCCGAAAGTCTCAGTATACTGTACCGTTACTTCTGACATTTTGAATGCAATGTTTATGCTAATGAAGCTAAAGTAGCATTTGTCTATAACGACATGACACTCACTTCTGGTACTGATGCACTAAGAGCCCAATCCTATGGAACCCCAGCACATAATCTTGTTTCATTCTTGATCTCAATCCAGTGCTTATCAAGGGTTCTTTATGGTACTTTCACACAAAAGAGTGGGAAACTCTTAAATATGGCCTTTCAGGTACACTTGGCAGGCAGTAGAATAAGATCCTCTGCATTTCTGAATTAAGATCTGACAGGATTTTAGGGGCAGCCACAATATGAACTTGCACTATAACAGAAACAGGACTTGGCTCTTAATTGGGACAAAAAACATCTACTCTAAAACTTACATGAACTTGGTCTTACTAGTATTATTTACTTAAGCCATTTATACCCCACCCTTAAAAAAATCAGTACCGCTGATGTATGACACCCAGCGTGCTTCCAAACAGGCTATTTATCTGTGCAAAGTTAGTTCTTATCCCACACTTTCTAGTGTAATTATTGTGTTACTTTTCTCACTGCAAAAAGTCCAATAAAAGTGAGGGAAATTGCCCTGGAAAATGCAAGATAACAATCACAAGCTGGCAATGTTATATAAGCACTGCGCTAACATATCAGGATGAATTCTCAATAAACTGGTGGCATCATATAGCCTCCACACAAGTTCCATGCAACCCTATCAGTGTGACTGCACAATAAACAGCCAGTTTGCAAGTTCCTTGTCTCTCATATGTCAGGTAAAAATAAATGTGAGAGTGCTCCTGTTCATCTCATTTTAACTGTTTCCCCCTTCTGAAATTAATTTAAGAATTAGACTGTTCTATTTGAATTGAAAGTATGTCTGAGGACTTGTATACAAATTGTTTTGATCACTGAACACTTATTGGACATTAGCTAGGATGGTAGAACCACTGCACAATCACATGGCATTCAAGTGGTGCTGCAGTAAAACAATATCAAAAAGCATTTTTGACTTATTCATATTACTGACTTGCTCAGCATTGATCAGACTGAATTTATTTCAGAGGATGAATTGTTGAGTGCAGCCATTGCTACATGTTAGATCTGCCTTTTGGCATAAAAGCCCAAATTCTCTTTCAAAATAATATTTGCGCTAGCGTGGCAGAGGCCAAATGTGTCACATGGCAGCAATGCCATTCCACTTCATAAACTTAGGTCCAAACTGGACACATTAGTTTCCGTAGCCTTGTATTTTTCTAAAATGAAGTGGGGTAGGGAGTGTCAATTCTTTACCCCATGCAACAGTCTTGATACAAATCAAGGATCCCTGTATCTACTTGCAATGAAAGGAAACTGCTAAAAATGGGAGACACCGGCCATCAGTCAGATAGGAATTCTGCATGCACCCAAATACTCATTGGAAACACAAAAATGTATATTTGAATGGCAGTCTTCTCCCAAAAGTTTTTGAAACTTGTTTGAGTTTCAAAAGCAGCTCACCAGTGTGTACGTGTGTGCAAGAGCACTAGCCTAAAATCCAAACAGTTGCAGAGTTAATCATGCATACTCTGGATGGCTCACCTAAAAATACCCATGGTACATTTTATATATCCATCGCTTATAAAATAAAAACTGCATTTGTGAAAGACAGTCATAATACTTGCAAACTTAGCATATAAAAATAAAGACATTTTCACTTTGATCTGGTCATTATTATTGGTAATTACATTGTGTATCCTGGAAGCTTGTTTACTACTAATTCACTGATGTGTCTATATTGATTAGTAATATCCACCATTTCAAAATTATCATCTTTTTCTTTTTCAGATGGATTGCTTTCTTCTAACCCACTAAGATCAACATCAGACACACTGGAAGGCAAGTAAGAGCTAACTTGAGATGTCCTTATTGACTGGCTCTTTTCCATAGATGATTCACCTTTTTCTACACTATTATTTATCTCAGAGAGAACTTGTTCCTCTCCCAAGGTCTGCATATCTTTGCTCCCTTTCTTGTTGGCCCGCTGAGCTTCAAGTTCGACCTTTGAAACTCTTGCAGAAGGAGAATCATGATCAAATTGATTAAGAGCAACACCTGTGGCTTTTTCATTAGATTTTGAATAATAGGTCTTTTTAAGAGATTGGATAGGAGATGTATCTGAGGGAACTGGAACGGGGGGTGAAATGCTTTCAGCAGTCATACTTCTTTCAGACATTTTAGAATCCGAGTCCATAACAGACTGGCTTTGATTTGGGTTTATTAGCAAGGGTTCAGAGCTGATCTCTTGAGCTTCTAAGGCTGTGCCTGAACTGTCAACATTGGTGAAATCTTCTGAATAGGCTGCATTTTCAGAGCCAAGAACCACATCACATGAATTCTTAAGTCCATAGCTGCTTTCAAAATTGTTGCTCTGGCTATCATTACGAAGGCTTGAAGCATCCCAATTATTTTTCAGTACACATTTTTCTTCTTCTGTATCAATTTTACTATCAAGGGCATTAGTATCCTGCAAACAGACTCTCGGCAAATGGACTTTCAAACTCTTTTCTTTATAAGAAGAGCCAATACTTTCAGGAAAGCCCTTGTGTTTTGCATTTTCATGACTCTTTACACGGCGGGCTGCAACTTTTTTTTTGAGATCACAGGTTAGTCCCTTTATGGTGGCAGAGTAATCTTGGTCAGTACTGCTTTGTATTAGAGTCTCAACATTTTCATTTATTTGAGCATTTTCTTCAGAGATGCTTTTTTCATCAAATTGTACAGAAGACTTTGAATGGCGCTCGGGAGAGCTCCGCAATAGTTTCCCTTTATTTGAAGAGCTTTTGCCTTTCCTTTCAGTGGTGAAGTCTCCTTGCTTTTTTCTACGATGTTCCCTTTTTTCATGCACTTTCAACATGACTGGATTGGAGCGCAGCAAACGAAGTTTTAGAGTATTTGTTAGCCCATATGTAAGCCTTCGTTTAGGGGAAGAGTTTTCCTTAGTATTGTTTTTCTCAAGATTGCCACTTCTTTCCATTTTTGTGAATCCTTTACCAGTGCTTGTAACGTGCATGGAGGGATACATGCATTTTAAATGATCTGGGCGATTTCTTTTTAACTTTGGGCTAGCAGACCTTCCTCTCTCTTTATGATTAGGAGAGGGTTTTTTATATTCCCGGAAGGGGCATAGACTCTTGACACTTGAGGGCGGGGCTTTTGTACCATCTGCTACATTTTGGTATAGCCATGCTAACTGAGGATGCACAGTAGACGGCCCTGGCTGCAGTGACTGGTTGCTCAGCAGGGACAGTTCCACCAACAAAGCATTCAGCAGAGGCAGCTGGCTCAAGGTTTGTCTGAGCTGATCATGGCTACTAAGCGCTGGAGAGGCCAAGGCAGGCTCTGGGACGCTACTTGAAGGCTCCTCCTTAAGAGGCTCTGCAGAGGGAAAGACGATTTCTTCTTCTGGAAAAGGTTCGCGAGGTGCAGCCACCGTCACCATCCCTGACGCCGCAGCTTTTGGCGTGGAGCAAGGATTTTCAGCCGGGCGACTATAGTACATTGGCGGGGGGCAGAAGACGTTGGTCAAAATCTCCAACTCTTGGGCTGCATTCTGCACAGCAAGGCTGGGGGGTTGTTCTTCGGTAAGGGTGCTGTTTAAGGACTCCGTGCTGCCACCTTCCGGGGCAGGGTCCTGCTGGTCTTCTTCTCCCTCTGGGATGAGCTCCAGGTTGACCCCTCTGTCGCTGTGGACGCTGGGCGGACGAGGCGGTGATCTGTGCCGCTCCTCGATGTGGGGCTCCCCGGGGGCCGCCCCCTGCCCCAAGTGCCCAAGCAGGCAGGGCCCCAAGTTGCTCAGGCGGTAGCTGAGGCCCAGTTCTCCCACCGGCTCCCCCATCAGGTCCCTCAGCGGAAACTGCCCCCTTCGCCCCCCGGGGCCGCTCTCCAGCAGCAGCTCCTCGGCGGCGGCCGCCAGGGAGACGCTGGAGGTGCCCAGCAGGCGGGCGGGGCCTTGTCCCGGCGGCAGCGCCAGCAGCAGCGCGTAGAGCGGGGAGCGCCTCAGGAGACCCTTGAGGGCGCCCGGCCGCAGCCGGAAGAGGCACGACTTGCCCCGGCCGAAGGGCACCAGCGGGCCCGGCACCGAGTGCGGGGCGCGCACCAGGAGGGTGGGGAAGTCCAGCAGCCGCAGCGCCACCGCCGGGCGGAAGGGCCTGCTGGCCGGCATGGGCGTCGGCAGCAGCCGCGGCTCCACGCGCGCCGACTCCACCAGCAGCTCCAGCGAGAACAGGCTCTCCTCGCAGCCGTCGCCCTCCTCCATCCCGGCTCGCCGTCGACAGCAGGGCGGGCAGGCAGGCGGCGGCGAACGTTCGCTCTCGCGAGACCGGAGGGGGGAAACCGCGCGGCCACGCGCGCGCGCCAGCCTCCGTGTATAATTATCTCTATGGAAGCCGTTGTCTAGCGACCGGCGGCCCTCGCTGGGTCTGTACGCCGCGGCCGCAAAGCCCTCTGGGAATCCCAGCTAACTCTCCTGCGATCAAGCTCTGCGGGCCGTATCGGGGTTAGGACCGCGGAGTCGGAAGGGACTCCCAGGGGTCATCTAGTCCAACCCCCGCCAAGAGACGTGCTAATGCTGGGAGCTGCTAGACAGCAGGCCGTTGCCGCAGGCGGAGGCTTGTAGCAGCAACGGCGCAGCATCCGCGGCAGCAGAACGGGTTTCATTGTCTTGCGCGCTTCGTTTTGTCTTGATGTTATTGTTTAAGCAGCCGTTCGCTTAGACTAGAGCAAAAATAGTTTTTAGCGTTCTGAGATACCAGTGAAGAAAAACCTTTCTTGGTCTCCTGACTTGAGGGGCACAATCTAGACAAAGATAAAGCACCTTAAATTGCTTTTGGGTCGTTGTCTTCAGTGTGAGCACATGCTGACCAATATCTAGCAGAAATAAACGGGATGATTTTGTAATTTTGCTTGAATGGCCCTCAGGGTTTTAGGGATTTGTTTTTGCATTTCCTACACATGCTTCCCCCTTTTGTGCTGTTTTTCAATGTTACATGTTGCAGGTGTTGGAAGAAGGGGGTGAGTGGGATTTCAAAGGGGAAGAGCGTTGTTTACATAGGGATGCATGTATTTCTTTAGCTGGAGGCTTTGGAAAATGTTCTATCTTTTTTGCTGTACCGGAGAAATCATCCCCACTGCAACATGAAATTATAGGATTTGTGTTTGACTTTAATTTTTGTTTTGAGTGATCGGTTTAGCTAGCTCTGATTTTATTGATACAAGCATTGAAAGTACGGTATGCAGGCAGCGTTCAAAATCAAGATAAATCTGGGCCCAAACTTTTGTGATTTTAAGCTATCCTCATTAGAAGAGGAAGACAAATATCCTTTTTGGGGGGTTTTGTCAAGAAAAAGGAGCATCCACAGATGTAGGCCCATTGAGCATAAAATGTCAAACTCAACTTTCCCCTCCCCTGCAAAATAACTCAGTCATTGTAACAGACTGGTTTTCTGAGAACATGAACTTTCATGAGAGCTAGTGTTGCATAGAGAATGCTTGAAAAAGTTAATGAACTGTTCCAAATATTAAACAATCAGAATGGAAATTAAAACTGTTCCAAAACCATTTTTCCTCTTCAAACTCACTGATTTATCCTTAATCTGATTGTGTTTTGGGCTTCATCCAAGACTTTTAAACACTTGGGGTTTGAATTATTTGGAGTGAATAATTCACGTATGGCACTTAGTTTGCAGACAGGAAGATGCTGTTGTCAACAGTTCAAGCCAATGTAACAGATTTGACTTGGCTTCTTCTTGTTTGTTAGGATTAATGTAACACATCTCAGTGAGCTGGAATCTGTGCTGCCTGCAACAAGAGTTGTGCACTCAAGCAGCCTGGAGAGAATACAGAGCATGTCCGCTACAGGCCAGATATGGCCTCCCTTCCCTCCATGACAGGGAGAGAGCAGTGCCCCGATTAGAATGGAGCAGTGCCCTTTCATTGCGGGAAGAGATAAGCAGATACTCCTTTTCTGTTTTATGTAATGAATTACTCTTTCCCCAAAGATGACACAGTATTGCACGTATTAATGTTTACATTTAAAATACTTAAATCATGGGGAAATGCCCAAGGTTCACATGCTGAGTAGCCTGTGGTCTGTATTATGATGCATGGTAAAGCTTGTGCTTTTAATACAGTTTAGAGGATTAAATGTACAATGCAGGACAGGAACACTTATGAGTAGAAGATTTATTTTAAGCTAGAATGTACAGTATTTGTTAGGATTTGGTTTCTCCCTTTTGTACAAAATATAACCGTATTACATTTATAGTAACGTTTGTTCAGTTTGTTCAATCTATTAAGATTGAAAGCATCTATAAACTATTGAAATAGCAATTTGTCATTTGCTTTGTCATAATATTTTAAAAAATAAATAGATTCTTAAATACTTGTAATATTGCATAGCCAAACAAATATATGTTTTAAAGAAACAAACATCAGAACACTCTCAAACTCAGGCACCATCCCTCCATAGCCGCCTCTATTCAATATGATAGCCACTTTCAGGCATCAGTTCAAAAAGCATGTTTGCACGAGATTTCCTTCCTCCTGTATCTGGTTTACACATGCATGTGTTTGCCTTTTTGATTCTCCAAATAATCACATGCTGAGAAGTAAAGCAGTTATGTAGTTCCTGAATTATGCAGAATGTATTCATGTTTATTATCAGTATATTGCTGATTCAAACACTGCGTTGGAGCCAGACTTAAATCATGCCTAAGAGTAATGTCATTGATTTCAACAAGTCCATTCTAAGCATGACTAACAAAGCGTGTTCACTCTATCCGGGCAGCAGCAGGGCTGACAAAGCAGTGGAATCCCCAATGTTTCTACAGCCCTGTTGCTCATTTTCGGGTGGAGGGTGAGGAATAGCTTGGAGCTCTTGCAGTGATTGGGGCACACTGTCAAGTGACAGCGGTAGGGACATCTTGGGGTCCAGGTGTTCTAGACTGACTTATCTCTCCCTCACCCCCAGCAATGTCCTGCTTTGGCAACTGCAGTGTTAGTCATGCGAAATGGGGAGTCCTGTGCTTGTGGAATTACAATGGTGTCACTTCAGACAGGGGCCAGCAAGGTTGGCAGAGGAAGCCTCAGCAACCAATTCACACCTTTCTGAATGTGAAGAGGTGTTGGATTGCAGACTAAGCCTGGATCCAACCTTACTGTCTTTTTCCGCATCAGAAATGATCAGATGGAGGCCAATGGCAACTTGTATTCTGACAACTTGTACTCAACTCACAGTGGCCAACCAGATTCCTGTGCGAAGCATGCAAGCAGGATCTGAGTGCAAAGAATTCATTCAGCTGCTCTGCAATCCCCTTCTCCTCCTTTACACACCTTTGACTCCCTTGTCTTCCAAGGGTCCAGCTGCTTCCCTAGCCAGGGCCTTCTGCAACTACTGTATTTAAGAAACTTCTTGTTGGTCTTAATGTTTCCAGCAATGTGCTCAAATTCTTTTTTTGCATACCTTACTGTCTACCTGTGCCCTGTCTCCCCCCAAAAGAAAGTTTGTGTTCATCTTTCTCAAATGGGCAAAACTACCATATTTTGAAGGAAGCATTGTTGCCTCTGAAAGCTGCTTTGATTGCTGATTAGCCACATCAGCATATACTTGGCCCTTGTACAGTGGTACCTCAGATTAAGTACTTAATTCATTATGGAGGTCTGTTCTTAACTTGAAACTGTTCTTAACCTGAAGCACCCCTTTAGCTAATGAGGCCTCCTGCTGCCGCCACGCCGCCGGAGCACGATTTGTGTTCTCATCCTGAAGCAAAGTTCTTAACCTGAAGCACTATTTCTGGGTTGGCGGAGTCTGTAACCTGAAGCGTATGTAACCTGAAGTGTATGTAACCCGAGGTACCACTGTAGTATCTTTACCGATCTGCAATATACAGTCCAGTTGCGCTTGATATTGTGTCTTTATACAACGCCCAAACATTTTGGAGTGATTCAACCCTTCTGACTTTGCCTTTCAGCTTCCTTTTTACCAATCCCCTATTGTTGGGGAAGTCTCTTTTGAAGGCAAATGTGACTGTATTGAATTTTCTGGACAATTGGCTATTTACCTGTATTTTCAGTTTAAAAGCAGTCCAGTCACTGCTCCCAAATGGCTCGACAAGACTTGCCTCTCACACAAGATTCTGGGCACCACTCAAGATTAAGTCCAGGGTTCCCACCCCTTTGGCCAATGTGAAGACCAACTGTATGCTTTACGGCCTAATCCTAAACATGCAGAGGCAGGATGGTAACCCCTCAGGGATATTGTTGTGCATTTCTTATGGCATAGAGTTGAACTAGACTTCCAGCTCCATAATTCAGAAGTCAGTCCTACTGAGTTTAACAGGAAATATTTCTTGGCATGTTTGCTTCAGGTTGCAGTCTCAGCACAAAGTGTGAAAGCCAGCACCCCACTCCAAAAAAGTATGATTCATATTCTTGCTCTCCGCAGAATTTGACTGCTCCCACAGTTCTCCCAAAGTTTCTCTCTGGTCTGCCAGATGATTGGCCTAGGCCTGATGTTTCTGTGGAGGCTGCATGTGCTAAATGAGCACTTGAGACCTATGAGAAACTTCAGCACACTGCTAAACCCCAGATATGCCAAAGTGAATTCATTATCTCTATGTGACTTTCCAAAATTTTATGCTGTTGCCCAGATCCAGAGAATGCAATCTGCATGTGGAAGCAGACTTCTGTGTACTTATTGGGGACTGTAATGTAATGTAAATAGGATGCATATTTGAATGAGGAAGCCTGTTGCTTTCACTGGAACAAACGCTCTGATGCACATTTAAATGTGCTTTCCCTTTTGGATATGGAGTAGAACACACATCTAAATGTGTTAAAAGTAATGCTTTGGTTGAAGACATGACTTTTGCATTTGGATGCATATTCGCATATGGAACTAATTTACATTTGTGGTCCCTGATAATGAAGGCTGCTTCTCTGGGCAGATTGCCTTCATTTGAGTAGGATGTCTTGGGATTCTTCCAGAGCTTTGCTCTTTTGCAGGTTGGATTCAGTCACGTACAGGCAAAATCACACTGAGCAATTAGAGTGGATTTGACACTCCCATTCCCAAAACCCAGCACCACCACAATGGACTTGTTGGCAATAAGGAAAGTGATGGGAAGATGCACTGGAAAATACGCAATAGCAATTGCTTAATGTGATGTATTATAACCTCTTCACAAACAAATCCGAATAGTTGCTAAATAAACAGTTTTAAAAATGGCTTCCCCATTTGTTCTCCTAAGTTTGAGGCAACTTGGGAGAGGTGAGAATTGAGACAAGGGCTTGTTTGTTTTTTTCTGGCCGTTTGGCTCCCTCGCTTCATCGTCACCTTCATCATCTCCAAATAGTCCCAGCGACACTGAAAGGAAGAAATGATGAGTGAAGAGATACTTACATTTAAAAAGTTGTTTTGCTCAGCTGAAAGAAAACTGGTGAAACAATAAGAAAAATAAACGAAAAGCCATCAAAGCTGTGGTTTATTTTTAGCAGGTTCTGATAAATGGAAGTGAAAACCAACTCCTCCCATTTCTCTTTTTCTTGACTTTCTGCCTCCTGCTTTCCCTGCCAATAAGTGCAATACACCACTTTAAGAAGAAAGGAAAATTTTGTTTCATTTTGTGGCACTTTAAAATGGTTTATAGCCACATTTAGCTAATGCATCGGTGGGCAGGGGGTTGAATTTGATCGATTAAAAGAATTGGTGTTCACAGCTAAACCTGCCTTTACCCAAAGTACCAGTAAGTGCCCTAAAATTATACCTTCTGATCTGAGAGATTTGACCCCCAATCCCAATACATAGGAAAGAGATGGGGTGGAAGGCTTGGAGGAATCTGTGGTTCTCCTGCTATGGTTGGACTCCAGTTCCCATCAACCCCTAGCTAGCGTGGTCAATGGTCAAGCATAATGGAAATTATAGTCCAACAGCAAATGAGGGCCCCTACATTTCCCTTTCCGGACATAGGGGCTGGCTGTAAAATAGATACTCTTAAGCTTGTCCAGAAAAAGCTGCGTAGTGAACTGATATTTATTCTTTGACTTGAGTTCTGGCATTGAAATTTATTCAGTTTGGCCTGAATAAATTCCTACATTTGCCTGACGTACAACCCAGTTACAATAACAAAAAATATTTTTGTATCGCTGATTCTACAGGGACTAAGCTGACTTAAATGTTAATGCCTATCACTAGGAATTAGAAGGTGGTCATCCCTTCTTAAAGGATGGATGTCTTCATAGCTAAAACTGCACTTTACATCCTTCCAAATCTAAGCCAACGGTGGCAAATTAAAATAGCTGCTCCAGGGAATAGCCAGAATAAGCAGAGGCCTGGCTCACTCATCACGGTAAGTCATGGCTTAGCACAAGCGTATGGACTCCTAGAGATAAAATTATGATCTCTTTTCCTCCCCGATTATTCTGCTATTGCACTGCAGTAAACTAAGCCATGGTTTGCCTTAGTGTGTCGTTTCAGCCTGCACTCATGGCTTAGCTGTCCTGCACAAACCATAAGCTATAAATCACAGGACAAACTTTAGTTAGTCTGGAAAAGGCTAATCCACAAGCCCAATTTTGGGCAACATCCTCAGCCAAGCCGTGACTTAGCTCTGCATGGGGAGAAACAAAGCAGCTGTAGTTTCCCGGGGCTTGTGTGTTCACAATATGCCATACTTTGACTTAATGCAGTGCCTGGGGGCGTCCATTTGTCCAGAAGTACCTCCTATGGTGGATGAGATAGGTCTCCATAAATATCCCCTTAAAACTCCAGAATGCTTGAGAGACTCTTCCTGCTCAGTTCCTGTTTGCCCTGGCTCGTCAATCTTACATTGAATGCCCTCCCTTTAATCATGCCCACATTTGACTGGATGCCAGGGTGTGGCACCCAACCTCCCATTGTGAGCAGAGGAGAAGTGCCAAGAGCCTCTTTCTGTGAGCAAGCAGAGTGCGGAGTGATGTAGGTGCCTTTTTTATAAAGGTAAAGGACCCCTGGATGGTTAAGTCCAGTCAAAGGTGACTGTGGGGTGCGGCGCTCATTTCACTTCAGGCTGAGGGAGCCGGCGTTTGTCTGCAGACAACTTTCCAGCTCATGTGGCCAGCATGACTAAACCGCTTCTGGTGCAACGGAACACCATGATGAGTGCCAGAGTGCACGGAAACGCTGTTTACCTTCCCGCCGCAGTGGTCCCTATTTATCTACTTGCACTGGCGTGCTTTTGAACTGCTAGGTTGGCAGAAGCTGGGACAGAGCGATGGGAGCTCACCACCGTTGTGCAGATTCGAACCGCTGACCTTCCAGTCGGCAAGCCCAAGAGGCTCAGGGGTTCAGACCACATCGTCACCTGTATCCCCTTTTTTATATATGGAGGATATGGCTACACCATTTTGCAGTCCTGTCTCTTTCAGATTTTAGATGGGTCAGCCATTTTGTATAGTGCCATGCCCTACAGCAGTCATTTTGTGTCATGTTGAGCCCCGATGGCAGCATGTAATGTTCTCCTTCCAGGGCAGCTATTTTGCAGCTGGCACCCATGGTACTTTCTCAAGGACACATCCCAGCCAGGCAAAAACACACAAGGAGACTATGAAGTTGGGCTGGTTAGAGTAGATGGCCTGGATGGAGTAGATTTGGCTGAGGAGGGGTTGTGACCTGAGGAGAATTCGAAGGGCCAAGGCGGTCACATTTGCCCCATTCTGATTTAAAGGATCTGGAGATTGCATGGCACAACTGCATTATCATTTGCAGAGTCAGAACAGCCAGTCATCATAAGACAACAAGGAAAAGAGAAACTGGGTGCTGGCATTAAGTGTGAAAAAGTAAAGGATTGTTTGTAGATATAATCCTTTACATTTTTCACATGCAATGGAATAATCATCACCTTATTTTTACTAATGAGGGGGCTTTCTTGAATCAAATGATTTTCACGGCTGGATCAGTAAAGCTAGTTCTAGGTTACTGCTCTTGTGACGGAAAGACAAGTATGTGACTTTAACCCATCAACACAGTTTTAAAATACTCTCTTGTTCAGGGGTCAGCAACCTTTTTCAGCCGTGGGCCAGTCCACCGTCCCTCAGACCATGTGGTGGGCTGGACTATACTGGGGGGGGGGATGAACGAATTCCTATGCCCCACAAATAACCCAGAGATGCATTTTAAATAAACACACACATTCTACTCATGTAAAAACACCAGGCAGGCCCCACAAATAACCCAGAGATGCCTTTTAAATAAAAGCACACATTCTACTCATGTAAAAACACGCTGATTCCTGGACTGTCCGCAGGCCGGACTGAGAAGGCGATTGGGCCGCATCCGGCCCCCGGGCCTTAGTTTGCCTACCCCTGCTCTTGTTGGAACATATGGTGCTTTCCTCACTCCCCCCTCCCAAGAAGAACCAAAGACCTAATAAAAAACGACCACCCACTGTAAGCCCGGGAAAGAATGTTCAGGTGATGGGAGAGACAATGGAGAAGAAAACAAAGTAGAGAAGCTTGTCTACTCTGTAGTTTGTTGAGAGGAAGATTGCATAAAATAAGACCTGACCTTTCAAAGAGACAGCCCTTCAACTCAGATTTTCATTCCAACATGTCAGTCTGCTAAGCTTGTCCTTTTGCTGTCAGAACACTGATTTGGCATCATTTGGGGAACAGGCTTTTGGAAGAACTACTTTTTTAAAAACTCACATTTGAAAGAATCTAGTTTCCTCTGTTCAGTTAAAGGCTAGCTAATGTTTCTTGGGTTTTTTATTCTGATCTCTTGAATTACTCATTTTTGAAGTCTCTGCAAATCTGAGTTACTTTTCAAATATCCTCTCTCTGCAACTGAAGGAAAATGAGTCAAAAGCTGCTCTGCTTAGCAAATCTGTATTTTCATGTGGACCCCCAAATTCAGTCTCTATACTTGCCTACACATATCTTTCCAAAGTGTTCTTATCTAGGCTCTGAAAGTGAAAGGGAAAATGACCCTCAGCGATACAGCTGCAAATAAAATGTTTTAAATCTGTTGTAAAGTGCAATATACAACAGTGACACTAGATGGCGACAGTGAGCTATACCAAATTCAATGTATTTTTCAAAACGTTTTTTAAAAAAGCATTTTCACAGCGGTTTTTATATGTGTGTAGATTCCACCCCAAATGACAGAGAAACAGAGTGTTATTAGCATACTCCAAACCATACCTTGTGGTTTCATGTAGTTGTTAGCAGCCTGAGGGATATAAGATGGCTCTCTTTGTGATCCCACATGGGGTAGAGCAGAAAGTCCCCAGCTATCCTATGAGTAATGAAAATAACCTTGAAGATAATGTGAGAGTTCTATATCTGATGCTTCTGTATTTCTTACATTATGAAAACCTTGGTTCAGAGGTTCTCAAAAAGTGTAACACATATTTCTGGAGGAGTGAGGAAAATTTCTGAGGAATATATGAGCTCCTTCTACCTAGATTAGTTCTGGGGTGTACTAGAACATCAACCCCTCCACTCACTTTCCGCCATGTTTTTCACCCATCTTGGCTGCTGGCACTTTGCAATAGTGTGTAGCTCCCTTCCAAATTGATTGCCAAGAACTGAGGAGAAGATTATTTTTACAAGCATTCAGCTTTGCTAGATATGCTGTGGACCTCAGTGGTTTGTCTGTTTTAATCTTTTTCCCCTCAGATTGAGGCAAAAATAAACACTGCCATTTTTAGGGAGTCTCAAATAGTTTGCTTGACTTAGGGAGGTTTGTAGCAATTAAGTCTGACCCTGCCCCCCCCCTTTGCTGTCGTCTTTGGAAGGTTAGCTTTAAAGAAGAATAAGGATCAGGATTTGCTGTTCTAATATGGGAGGCATTGTTCCAGTAACTCTGTAGCACAGTTCGGGTCATGATAAAATTCCATGTTCTTTCCCCCCACTGTAGAATCAGAGTTTCATCATCGTTCTCTTATAATGTTTACTGTAGAACATCACTCCCTCATGTGGTATTACTGGAAACCCCATGAGTATTTCTGGTGTAATTCATTGTTAATTAATGTACATCTTTAAATGTTGATACTTGTACATCTAGGATCCAGGAAATTGATTGCCTAGTGTTGGTTTTTTGTTTTGTTTTTTAAGTCAATCTGTATTCTTTTGCCATATGCAGCAACAACGTCTTCCCAGCAAATGATGCTGGTATCCCATTTACTTAGTCAGCCATAAAGGGCAGCTTTAGCAAGCCTGCACAGTTATGTGTGATGTCAAGAAAGTATTG